TCTCCTCTGCCTGCCTATGCCACCATTAAGGACCCTATGAGGACATCAGGCCCACCACACGACCCAAATAATCTCCCCATCCAATCAGCAACGTGAATCCCACCTGCAACTTGAACCCCCTCTGCCACGTAAGGTAACATACTCACCAGGGATTCAGGGGAGGATGTCTTTGGGGGCCATTATTCTGCCACCACAGTGGGTAAGGACATGATCAGATGACAGACAAGACAGGGACCACACGCATGGAAACATGGCCCACTCAGAGAGGAATCAAAGAAACGCAAAAGGTCGACAGGAGACCCCGTTCCTCCATCACAGGAGCCAAGCAATTGTTTTCTCAGTGCTGACAGGAGCCACAAAGCAAACTTTGTAAAAGTTGCTTGGAGCTCCAACCCTCTCCCCTACACACCCAACCCTCCCACCCCAGGGCCTTTGCCCCACGTTTGCTTCTCCCAGATACCAGGCCAGCTGTGACTCTCCCCACCTCAAGGCCTGGCTCAAATCCCACCCCGACCACCACAGTTAAAACCGCAGTTCAGGGCCGGCCTGCTGGTGTAGTGGTTAAGTTTGCACACTCGTCTTTGGCGACACAGGGTTCGTGGGTTTGGATCCTGGGCACAGACCTACACACACCACTCATCAAGCCATGCTGTGGCAGCGTCCCACATACAAAATGGAGGAGGACTGGCACAGATGTTAGCTCAGTGACAATCTTCCTCACAAAAAAACAAACTGCAGTTCAGCACCCCTGTGCGGCCACACTCTCCACCCAGGCCTCGCTCTGCCCCCATTTTCCCTCAGCACCAGCCACCACCTCACACCAGTACGCCTCACGCATCTGCAAGTTTACACCCTGATGGTCACTGGCTCCCCGAGGGCAGGGTCCCTGTGCTGGGGCTGTAGGGACAGCCCAAGGGTGTGTCTGGCTCAAGGCCCCATTCTCACCCACAGAGCCAACAGGGCGTGTGTTGGGCCGGCCGGCCTGGCCTTGGATGTCCACTGAGGCCCTCTCCTGGGGGCAGGCTTGCCACCAGAAGCCAGGACAGGGACACTCATGCTTGGCGGTCTTGAGGTTCCGCTGGGTCCAACGGGCCACGTGGGTGAGCGTGGGCCATGGCCAGACCCCAGATGAACACGAAGCCCGTCACACCTGTGGTCCATTCCACCCCAGCTCCTCCAAGCAGGTACTCCAGCGCAGGAAACAAGGCCCAGGGAGTGATGAGACTCCCCAGCCGAGGCCACAGGGTCAGCCTGACTCCCCAGGCCGTGGGGACGGGGAAGAAGTGGGTGGCCCCCGAGCGTCAGGGTGCAGGGGCCGGAGCCCTAGGGACTCCAGACCAGCAGGAGGAGAGGGCTAGGGCTGGGCTCCCACGTGTATCTCTGTGTTTCCACCTGGGACAGCAGAGGAGGAGAGAGGAGGAGCAAGGGCCCAGGCTGCCCCTCGGCACGGGAGAGTGGTCAGGAGACACGAGCCTGCTGCCCACAGACGTCATGAGCAGCCAAGGAGCTCAGGAAGCTTCTGCTCCTCCTGCTCTCGATGTCACGGGACAGGCCAGACCCGGGGCGCCCTCCACCAGCATGTGAGCAACGTAGTAAGAAGAAAGAGGTGTCCAAAGCCCCCAGGGCCAAGAGAATAAGGATGTCCCTTAGGATTTGCCAGAAGGAGGCATTTGCGGGACCGTGTGGGGCCTTGGCAGGCCTGTGTGGTGCATCCAGCACCTGCGTGAGCCTGGGAAACGCACGGGGAGGAGAGGAAGGTCAGGAGGTTTCTCTCCCTACAAACTGAGCAGTGAAAGGAAGAAGAGAAAGGAACAGAGAAAATCGTGCTGGGGAGGGCCGGGGCTTCCCACTTAACAGCAGGACATACAGACGCAGAAGGTGGAGGGAGGGAGGGGACAACAGGGGTGTGTAGCTTGGCAGAAGGAAGGTGGGATCTGCGGCATGCCAGGCCAGGACTTGGGGGCTCCTTCACGCCTCCCCTGCAACCTCTGGACAGAGCCACAGAAGGGTGCCCATGCCTCCGTCCCACACGGTGAGCGGGGCTGAACTGAGCAGAGACAGAGGCACTGGTCAGCCGGAAGGATCCTCTGGAGACCCTCCAAGTGTCCAGCCTGGTCCCTCAGGGCTCCATGGTGTGGAGGGCTTCCCCAAGGACAGATGTGGGATGGCAGGAACTCTGGCGTCAGAAAGCAGGCTGGGGCACACAGTGGCCTCAGACGCCCACAGGAGGCTCTGGGCAGCCGGAGGGCACGGGTCAGAGAGAGGCAGGGGTTCGGTGCTCCCTGGGAGAGGGTGACTCTTCCAGCCCCTCCCCAACGCGGAGGAGCCCTGGATCGCAGGGGTGCTCTGCCCATACTAAGCTCACAGGCCATGGAAAGCGAGGCTCCCGCGGGCCGGCACCAGGCACCCACCTGCAGGGCAGGACCCTCAGCACCAAACCACACCCTTCCCCTCCCCAGCCCCACCACAGGGCAAAGGCAGGCTCCAGGGGATGGGGGACGGACACCTCTTCGCCTGTCTGGCAAGCCCCGTTCTCCCTCCAGACTCACCGAGAAGCCTCCACCCCCGGGCCAGCTCTCAGGTGCTGCCCATGGCAAGTCCTAAAAAGCTCAAGCCTCACAGGGAGTGAACGCTGCTGCCCGCCCCTGACAAAAGCACACAGGGTCAGCCCCCCACTCCCCCACAGGCAGATCCCAGTGTCCCTGCACTGACCTGAGGAGGAAAACCAGCCCCGAACCCCAAACCTGACATTCCTGTTCTGCAGCATCTGCTGCCCTGCTGAGGCTTCCTTCAGTGGCAGAGCCAACACCCAGTGCTGCCAGCCCAGAGAGCCCAACACAGGAATGCAGGAGCAGGTCCAGCCCCGCCCTGCCGCGGGCCTGGCACGTCTGCTGCTGTCACATGCGTCCTCCTGACATAAAGCGTCACAACAATTAGCCATGGGAGGACCTGCTCACCAACCCCGCTGCCTCAGGTCCTCGCCCCTGCGTGTGCTTCTTTGTTGCGCAGGTGTTGAGCACCTGCTTCTTGTCATGACCTGCAAGATCCCACAGACCTGTGTCAGCAAACACCTGAGCCAGCACACGCCTGAGCCGGGCCACATCTATGTCAGCTCACACCTGTGCCAGAGCACACCTGAGCCTCAGCACACCTAAGCCAGGGCACATCTGTTGGTACACACCTGAGCCAGAGCACACCTGAGCCAGAGCACACCTGAACCTCGGCACACTTGTGTCAGAACACACCTGAGCCAGGGCACATCTGTCGGTACACACCTGAGTGAGCCAGAGCAC